AGAAGAAACTGGAAGAAAAGCTTTAAAAATCCCAATTTCTTGAAAGGCATATGACCTAGCCTCTTATGCCAAACAGTGGCAGAGACTTGATTACGAAAAAAGACATACTTACAGGAATATATGGACAGAGGTGTAAGAAAAGGAGGTGCATCCCATACATAAAGCTCTTCAACTTTTTGACCCCTGCCAATCATCTTGAAGAACTTGTGCTGTATGATATAATAGAATGTAGAGAAACCAATAAGATACTGATTGGGATGAAGACTAGCACTCACAGAAATGAGAATAAATTTGAACTGAGGAACATAAAAAACCCCAGTAAGAAAAATCTCCTTAGACAAACGAACATCACCCACAAAGGAAACAATTAAAACAGAAGAATCAGGCAAAAGAACCCTGGAATATCTAACAGACCTGAGATTAATAAACAACTGTTTATCATGACAAATATGTTTAGAAGCACCTGAATCTAAAATCCAATCAGTAGAGGATAAAGAAGGAGCACCAGATAAAGCACAAGTACCTGTCACACAAGAAACCGTAGCAGTATCAGCTCCATGAGCAGAAGATTGTGGCTGAGCAGAAGCAGCAGATTGTTGCTGTTGAGCAGCCATGTGTGATGAAAACATAGACATAAACTGCTGACATTGAGAGGGAGTCATGGACTGAAGATAACCATCCACATGTTGAGAGCTCACACCTGAATCTGAAGAATGAGAATCCAAAGAAGAATCAAAACCAGAAACCTGATTAGCAGGAGAAGAAAAACGAGATTTTTGTGGCTTATAAGATGGAGGATATCCATGAAGTTTGTAACACTTCTCCACAGTGTGACCCTGCATATTGCAATGTGTGCAGAAACTTCGTTCTTTCTTCTTGAAACCAGTATTGTAGAACTGATTATTAATGGACCGCTTAAACCCCTCATTCTTGACAGAAAAAACAGAACCAGAAGACTCAACATGTGAAGATACAACTGATCTCTGACGTTCTTCTTGAGAAACGAATGCAAACACCTTAGATATGGGAGGAAGCGGATCCATGAGCAAGATTTGACCACGAGTAGAAGCTAGACTTTCATTCAACCCCATAAGGAAACTCATGACATACTCTTGATTATAATGAGCCTGTAATTTTTCAAAACCACCACAATCACATTTTCCACAAGAGCAACATGGCCTATAATTCACCAATTCATCCCAAATCGCCTTGACTTTAGTGAAATATACATTCACTGATTGACTGCCTTGGGTAAGATTCGCCAAATCACGACGCAATTGAAAAATGCGAGGACCATTTGTCTGTGAAAACCTAGTTTTCAGATCATCCCAAATTTCTTTTGAGGAATTTGAATACATAATGCTACCTTGAATATCCTTGGAAACCGAATTGATAATCCAAGACATGACAATATTATTATTCCGAATCCAAGCATTTCGCATAACCAACTCATCAGCAGCAGGCTCAGAAATCGTGCCATCGATGAAACCAATTTTGTTCTTCACCGTTAATGAAATAGTCATAGCTCGCGACCACGAAGCATAATTGTCTTCAGTGAAGAGCTGCGAAACCAGAATCAAATTTGGACCATCAGACGGATGAAGAAACATCGGATGCGAAACATCACCCAACGGAGAACGAGCTGGCGGCGCCATGAATTATAAACACCAGAAACAACAATCGAGATGATAGAAGATAATCGCGCGGAAACGAGAAGAAAAACGATCGATTGACTGGAAAAAAACGATCGAATCAATGAAAAACTGATACCATGTTAGAACCCTAATCTAGGGTTCATATCAAAGAAGAAATCAAAGAAGGGAGAAGAAGAATTTTTATTGAAGAAGAGAGAAAAAAGTGTTTTACAACGGTAACAAAATCAGCTTTAAATAGCTGTTACAATAACTACCTAAAAGTGCTAAAAGAAAGAAAAAACTAATAAAAACGTAATGGCTAAACACGTTTTATTAACAACAGAAATATAAAATGATAAATGCTATACAGAAATTACTAAGCAGCTTATATAACAACTACATATCCAATATTTTATGTAGGAGAATAATGACTTTGAAGGTTTCAAATTAGTGGTCTAATGACCCTCATAAAAATGGTCATAGTCATTATTATATTTTATAATAAAATATAATATTTTTATTAAAATAACCCAACACATGCCGATAACATACCAATTAGGTTGAGGTAGAACTCATTGATTGGCTGAAGGAGATCAAGACATGTGATCTGAAGACTTGAAGGTAATCCTAACTTCTCGAATGGATGTAAAGAAGGATTAGCTGTATTTGGTTAGATCAAGAGAGAGAAACAATACATTGTAATCATGAGAGAGAGAGAGAGAGCAGTTTTGATCTTCTTGTATTCATTGAAAGAACTTCTTGATTGAATAAGTGAAATAAAGATCGCATTCCCTTCACTAATTGTGTTTTAATTACAGCTGATTAACCATATTTTCAGATTCAGTTTTCATGTTAAGGTTGATGCAAAATTAAGATTTAATGTTTGGCATTATTTTGAGTATGATCATTGATTGATTGTGATTTGCTCTAAGTGTTTATTTGAACTTAATTGAGTTTGATTCTCAACATTTGCAATAAACTTATAAACTAATACTCCACACAAAAAAAATTAATAATAAAAAAAAAAAATCTAATAGAGTGGGCTTAAAGAACAATAGTGTGAATTGGTCAAATTTAAAATTGGCCCAGTATTGTTAGGGTACCCAGCAACTGTAAAAGAGACTTTGCAAAAGCCCAAAAAGACTCGTAATTTTTATTCACGCACAAAAATAACCACTTTTTTAAATGTTGATTTTACATTATAAAAAAAAAAAAAAAAAACCCTCAAATTAGCTAAATTTACTCAATATAAGTTGAGGAAAATTTTGATTTATGCACGTGTTTCTTCATAAGTATTAGAACAGAATATAACATTATATATGAGGTCCATAATCAATGAAATAACATACTTGATTATGAGGTCCATATTATATAAGTTATAACACAATATTTTAAGGGGTCTTAAGATATAAGTCCCTGGTGACAAACCTTATTAGAACTAAATGACAAGTCTAAATAAAATTTGCTTCACATCCTTTATTAAATTCATTCCAAAAATGCCCCTCCACTCACAAATTCGAAATTACACCAAATTGTAAATATACTATGATGAACTATGGTATTATTTAATATTTTTACGTTTGCATCTAGCATTTTTTTTTCATTTTTACGTGAAACACGTTTTTTTCGTATTCTATCATTATATAAAAATCTATTCTTTTCCCCTTCTTTTTTTACATAAAGTGAAAAATATGATTTTTTTTTATTTTTTCGGTCGTAGACATCTTCAGAAACCCATAGGAAACCGTAGTAATGCGTAGTCACCCATAGACATCTTGAAACCCTAACTCCTCCTACAAACCCTAGCCGCCAGACCCATAGACACCCATAGACATCCAAATCGATTTTTTTTTAAATTTCCACACCAAACCCTAGATCCGCTCCTCCATCCACCACCACCACCATCCACCACCATCCACCACCAAGCGCCGCCATCACGCCATCATCCATGCCCAACACCGTCGCTGCGTCTTTCACTATGGATCTGACCTTGAACCACCATAGCCGCCGTCTCCTTGCCTCTACAACCATCCGTTTATTGCCACCGTCTCCACCGCCATAACCACCGTCAAAGCCACCGCCATAACCACCGTCAAAGCCACCGCCATAACCACCGTCAAAGCCACCGCCACCTCAATAGTGGATTGGAGTGGTGGAGAACGAAAAAGACAGAGAGAGATAGCGATATCGAAAAATAGAGAGAGATAAAGATTGTGCGAGAGAGTGAGAGAAACAGACGAGACAGAGAGGGCGAGATTGAGAGACAGAGAGAGCGAGATTGAGAGCCGGAAGAAAAAAGAAAAATAAATCTGAGAGAAACGTGATTTTAGAATTTATGGATTTAGGTTAAGGGTAAATTAGGGATAAAATAAAAATTGAGGATGTGACTCATTTTTATTTTTCTAAAAAGGATTTAGTTCATAAAAAAATATCAAGGTTGTATTCCACATCTAATTATGTTTCCAACTAGGGACCTCTAGCATATTACCCCATATTTTAATAATATATGAGGTCCATAAAAAAAGCAATATACTTGGTGACCTAACATTCTTGTCCACCACTAGTTTAATTAACTCCTACAATTTCTCAGCCGATCAATTTACTGGTATTTGCAAAAGTTTTTAAAAATAGATTTTAAGTTTTGATTTTTTCTCATAATTTGCTTTTAGGTATTTGTAAAATCAGTTTTTTTTTTTTTTTTTAAATAAGATTCTTTGAGGTGTAACTATAAAAGTGTCACTGAAGGTGCATTTTCAATGTAAGTTGATTTTTCAGTATATTTACAAATACTCTAAACTTATAAAAATAAGCACTTAAAACCAACTTAACTCACAATCACTAACTTTTATTTTTAATTAAGTTTTTGCAAAACCACCTTAGTATCGTAGACGAAGAGAGAAACATAAAACATCGTCCTTTTATTTAATTATTGATGTTACAATAGAGAAAATAATTAGAAGATGTAAATCCTTTATTATAATTCAAATTCAATAACTAGAAATTAAAAATTAAATTAAATAATAAGTGAAATTACATAAGAATGAGATATTCATATCATGCACTTTTTCATTTAATAATGAAAAAAACTCTCGGTCAACCACATACAGGTGCACTAGATAAACCTAAAATCTGATATAATAACTATTTTAATATTTATCTTGACAACCAAACATGACCTATATACACTGTTTAAACTTCCCATATTTTTTACTCCTATAAATACCCTACTAATTAACGTGTCCAACTCTTCATTCACAAGTTCTCCTCCTGCATCATAACCGCAGAAAAAAAAAAAAAAAAAAATCTTATCAAATTTTGTTGCTTCCCCCAAATTCTTCTGATTTTTCGAATTCAATAGATATGTCGACGTCGATTTTCAGCCCGTTCGAAGCACTTTCCGCCGACTATTATTTCGGCCAGAAAGTCGCCGGCTTTTCTTGTGCTCCGCCGCCTCCCAATACTAACAAGCACGGCGCGGCTGCCGCTGAAACCGTCGTCAATTCCTCTTCGCTGCCGACGACGAAGAAGCCGGAAGATCGCCGGAGAATTAGAGCGCCGAGGCTCGCACCGGAGCTTGATGGGATTTATTGTTTCGAAACTCTGCTTCCTTACTGATTCAATTCGTAGGGTTTTTCTTTTTCTCCCCCTTTTTGTTATTCTTATTGAATATAGCGAAACTCAATATTGTAGAATATTCTTTATACTCGGTTAATTGTTTTCTTTTTTTCTTTCTTTAATCTTGATTATTTCAGCCAAGTTTCACACATATATAACTGGATTTTGAATGCTATATTCTAATTGCAATATAACTATTTCTTTCGGGCGGGAATATTTGTCGTTTTTCAAAAAAAATTGCCCCTTTTCTTGCAAAAAAATAAAAAATAAAAAATTATAGCGGCCCGGCTCGTTAGGATAGCGGACCTTGATCTGGTGCCTGTACTCGATTCCCACATTGTGACTGCATGTACTCGATTCTAGGACCTTACATCAACATGCCACTTCAAAATTAGTTGAGCTCTACCCATTCCAACATTAGTTGTTGTTATTTGTTCTATGAAACAACATATTTTGAAATTTTGAAACATGGCGGACTAAAGATTTTTATTTTTGTGAATATCGGGGGCCAAATGTAAAATTTATGTAAATTTGAGGGATGAAAACCACAAATTTTCAACTGAAATGTTAAATGTAAAACTGTAGTCCTTCGGGTTAGCTTTCTAATCCAACTTAAATTCACTAGATTGGATGCCGTCTGACAAAGTTATGCATGAATTAGTCATATTTTGAATTTTAGATACCTCAATACATCAAAGTTGTGGGCAGTATCCATTGATTCATGTATATCTTTCTCGTCCCACATCCAATTTCGGTGATTCAAGTTGGATTAGAAAACTAACTCAGAATACTACAAATTCTATTTTTCGGGTCTTGCAATTGAAAATGATCAAAATTACGTTTAAAGTCATAACAGTATTATTAGAGCTCGAACGACATTTGTCACATCCCAATTTTCAAGTAGTTAAATCCTCCGCGTGTGAATTGAATGGAATCTCATTATTCTTAAAAATCAACCAATACGTTCTGAGTTCAAACTCTTCTAAAAATAGGGAGTATGTATTATTTACACGGATTTGAGGTGAAATAGACAAAGTGAAATTGGAGAAAGACGTTTTACCTTATAATCTAGAAATCTTAATACTTAGACGAATTGTTTACAATAATTTCAACGATGGCGTTTTTGTATTTTATAACAAATTTGTTTTATAATAATTTCATTGATTTCGTGTTGGTATTAATTTATGCCATTAATCAGCCTATCAAGCCAGAGTTAATTTGCTACTCTATAAGTACTCAAGAGATATATATATATACTCACACACATTAACCATCATTCAAACATAACGCTCAAAAAAATGGCTAGCCTTTTCCTTCTTGCAGCAATTTTCATCTTCACTTTCCATTCAGCCTCTTCAGCAAATACCAGCTACCAAACTTACATTGTCCATGTCGACTTGCCGCCGGCCGAAGAAGACGGAGTTTCGGGACAATTATCATCGTCAAATCTCGAAACATGGTACCGTTCGTTCCTGCCATCATCCGATGCCGCCACATCGGATTCGGACAATCATCACACGCCCTCGTCTCGCATAGTTCACATGTACCGCACTGTGATCACAGGATTCGCAGCGAAATTATCGGCAGACGAAGTGAAAGAGATGGAGAAGAAAGAAGGATTTATATACGCGAGGCCGCAGCAGAAGTACCATCTCCACACGACCCACAGTCCCAACTTCTTGGGGTTGCACCAGGGCGTCGGAGCATGGCCGGAATCAAACTACGGCAAGGGTGTGATTATCGGTGTGATAGACTCCGGAATCACACCGGGCCACCCCTCGTTCAATGACAAAGGAATGCCACCACCGCCTACAAAATGGAAAGGAAAATGTGAATTGAACGGAACTCTAACATGTAACAATAAGCTCATCGGTGCGAGAAATTTTGCGAGCCAATTGCCGGGCCCGCCTATCGACACCTTCGGGCACGGGACCCATACAGCCAGCACGGCCGCCGGAAACTTCATCTCCAACGCAAATGTGTCTGGCCAAGCCAATGGAACCGCTTCCGGCATCGCTCCTCTCGCGCACCTTGCTATCTACAAGGTCGGTTCGCTAGAGTCCATGTTTGACAGCGACGTATTGGCCGGAATGGACGCGGCTATCGAGGACGGCGTCGATGTGATTTCCATCTCTCTCGGAGGAGATGCAATTACTCATACTACTCCGTTCTACAAAGACATCATTGCTATAGGCGCATTCAGCGCCATCGAGAGGGGCATTTTCGTCAGCTGCTCGGCTGGAAACAGCGGCCCTGGCAATTCGTCGTTGTACAACACGGCGCCTTGGATTCTCACGGTCGGTGCCAGCACCACCGACAGGAAGATAAAAGCAACCGTGCTGCTCGGAAACGGCGAGGCTTACGAAGGTGAATCGCTTTACCAGCTGAAAGAAGATGGCTTGCCCGAACAATTTTTGCCCCTCGTGTACGGTTCATGGTCCGGGTCCGAATCGTTGGACGTAAAGGGGAAAGTAGTCTTGTGTGAGATGGGCGAGGACGACAATGGAGAAACCGTGAAAGATGCCGGTGGTGCCGCCATGATTGGGATGAATGACGAGACCCACGGCTATTACACCGAACCCTTACCGCACGTACTTCCTGCAACGCTCGTGAGTTACGAAGCCGGGCTAAAGATCAAAGCATACATAGAAGGTGCTAATTCTTCGACCTCTACTGCAGCTATCTCATTCAGAGGCACAACTATCGGGGACAAGACTGCTCCAATGGTTACACCGTTCTCGTCTAGGGGTCCCAATTTGGTCAGTCCCGGAATTCTGAAACCCGATATTATCGGCCCCGGTTCCAGCATTCTCGCAGGCTGGTCTGTCTCCGTATCCACATTCGACAACAAGACAACTAATTTAAAAATGGATTCGGGCACTTCAATGTCGTGCCCGCACCTGAGTGGGGTCGCGGCTCTTATCAAGAGCGTGCATCCCGATTGGTCTCCCGCAATGGTGAAGTCAGCAATAATGACGTCCAGCACTCAGACAAACCTCGGCAAGATTCCGATTCTCGACCAACGGTATCGGACCGCTGACGTGTTTGCCGTTGGGGCGGGACATGTGAACCCGCCCGCGGCCT